CTGCCTCTTGGATGTCCACTCCTTCCCCACCCCTCTTGGTCCTCCCTCCTTCCCTCTTCCATCATCTACATTTGAATTAACATATTTTTTATTAATGTGTCGTTCCCTATACTCTACATACATGTAGGCGACCTGTGGTGTAATGGTCAGCATGCTCGCCTCGCGAGCGAGCGGATATGGGCTCGATCCCCGGGCAGGGTAAAACAGTGGTCAAGTTTCTTTACGCCATTTGCCTCTGTCTACCCAGTAGTAATTGGGAATCTGTATGTTAATCAATTTGTGGATCATGTTTCGGGCTAATGGTTAGCCAATGCAGTTGGCGAGTTGTCCGGTCTTCTTGAACTATTCCTTGACACTGGGTCATACAGCTCGTTAACTTAGGGTGTGGTTGTTGTGTTGGTGACAGCTTCTACACCTTAAACAAACTCACGCCTAGGTGGCCCTTGGCCGCGCCATCCTCGTTACATGAGGGGCAATCATTATTATTTTATATACCTGTCCATGCCACCATAACAAACTGCTGATGTAGGTTTTATTTCCGTGTCACATAATCTCAACATCCTCTCAATTGCGTCACGTCCGTCGCTCATAACCAGTTTCCTTCCTCTTGGGTCTTGAGTCCACCCAACTGTATGCTAATGTCGTTTCAATTCTCCCACACTCAACATATCCACCATCTTTCCTTCCCGTGAGACAGTTCTCTTCTCTCTTCATACATGTCTCAGTCCACGTATGTAGGACCCTCCCTCCCTCCCCCTTCCCTCTCTCCTCCCCCTCCCCTCCCCTCCCCCTCCCTTCCTCCCTGTCTCCCTCAACTGCTCTATGATTCAGTTGGTCGTCCATTGTTCCTCTGGCTGACACTTTCACTCCCACACACCTGAAACACCTCACGTCCTCCAGGTCTGTCTCCATTCAACCTTGCCTTCATTTCTCCCTGTCGCCCTTCTCTGGGAGATGAATGTTGGTGCTGAGTTGGGGGGAAGTGAGGTGCTCCTCTGAAACCAGTCTCTCTCTCTCTCTCTCTCTCTCTCTCTCTCTCTCTCTCTCTCTCTCTCTCTCTCTCGCTCTCTCTCTCTCTCTCTCTCTCTCTCTCTGTATACATATAATTTAAATTCTACTCTTTATTTTTCCTCTCTTTTAGTAAGGGAGTCCAAAAATCTGACTTTTCAGTTCGTGACGGCAGCGAGTTTAAAAGTATATTTATACCATTAAATCTGTGTAAAACGATATGGAGAGAAACAAAGAATAATACACACACACATATATTGAAAACAATGCTGAAATAATTGTTTATATTTTTATGAAGTATTCCTGTTTTCTCTTTATTTAATTTATTATGTAACTTTACTTTTAATACATTCATATAATTTTTATACCAATGGCCAACTGGATACTGTGCTCGCTTTCACTTGTAGAGATTGTTGGTTCGTGCCAAAAAATCCTACAGTCCACCCAGCTGCGAATTAGTACTTAACTTTATGGTTGGGTAAGTGAAGACGATGAGAACAGCGCCGGACAGGTTGCCTTTATATGCACCGAGGTTTATAAATCAGTGTTGGTCAGGCGTCTGGGACCATTGTTTCACGTTATTATTATTATTATTATTATTATTATTATTATTATTATTATTATCATAATTATTATTATTATTATTATTATTATTATTATTATTATTATTATTATTACTATTATTATTATTATTATTATTATTATCATAATTATTATTATTATTATTATTATTATTATTATTATTATTATTATTATTATTATTTTTATTATTATTATTATTATTATTATTATTATTATTATTATTACACCAAATTTCACCTGTCTGTTAAAACTGTGGTCGTGTACAGGGCTTCGGTTGGACTGACGCCCCCTCCCATCCCCACCAGTTTAGACATAAGTAAAGGAAAGGAATCAAAATATAGCTACGTTTTTAATTAGACGATTCACCTTCGGGATGGGGGCTGACCACTAGAGCCAAGACCCCCCTCCTTTATAAAACACTTCTAGAGGAGTTAAAACAGGTGAGGTAGTGTAGTGATTCTCAAAGGTTCATACAACAACTATTCCTCGTAACTCAAGACTGACTGCACTTAACGGGTTGACTTAAGCTAAAAACACCAACACAACGTCTAAATAATTTTGTCCGGTGTTGTTGAGTTTCCTGGGCGATGTCTTCTGTTTTTTTTTGCCTGTGTTTGTTTTCATTGTTTTACGGGTAGTTACTTGCTTTTTAATGGTGTTTGGGTTAAATTGTCCGTGTTTTATTTAATTTTTATTTTTTTCATTGAAGTTGGGTGTGAAAGTAATTGTTTTTTGTTTTTTGTTTTTGTTTTTTTACATTGCGTTAAGTGGTGATGAGCCTGTGGGGGAGGGAGGGAGGGAGGGTGTTTCTATGTGTGGCAGGTGAGGGAAATGTTATAATATTGTTTGGTTCGGACCCGTCACCCCCACCACCCATTCCTCCCCCACCCCCGTGCCAACTCCCCTCTCCGCCACCATCTTGATACTTCTGGGCTACACGATGACTATGACTTATGACTTATGACTATTACTATGACTATTACTCTTACCATTATTATTTCATCCACCATTTCATCAGGGTGTTTAAACGAGTGGAATAATCTTCACTACTCCCGTATATAGTATATTTATTATGGACCAACCAACCAACCAACCAACTAACCAACGAACCAACGAATGAACTAACCAACGAACGAACTAACCAACGAACTAACGAACGAACTAACCAACCAACCAACCAACGAACGAACTAACCAAAGAAACAACCAACGAACGAACTAACCAACGAACGAACTAACCAACGAACGAACTAGCCAACGAAACAACCAACGAACGAACTAACCAACGAAACAACCAACGAACGAACTAACCAACGAACCAACGAACGAACTAACCAACGAACCAACGAACCAGCCAACCAGCTAACCAACCAACCAAACAACCAACCAAACACTAAAAACAACATTCTACTGCCGTCACTAACATCATCACCGTTCACACTGCAAATCAAATTACGACTGAATTAAGTATGACCATATAGCCTGGACGGACACAATTCTTTTTGTTTTTAATGGAAGTTTCAATTAAAATGGTAATAACGTGAATCGAAATGGGGGGAAAAATAGGCCATTATTTGGAACGACGAATCATGTGTTTTTCTGTGGGTTAGAGAAAACGGGAGTGTGTGTGTGTGTGTGTGTGTGTGTGTGTGTGTGTGTGTGTGTGTGTGTGTGTGTGTAGAGACTTGCTTAGATATGTATTGGAGAGAGAGAGAGAGAGAGAGAGAGGGAGAGAGAGAGAGAGAGAGATACAGATAGAACGAGAGAGAGAGAGATACAGATAGAACGAGAGAGAAATGTGCAGACAGATAGACAGATAGATAGCAAGAAAAAGACATCATAGATTGAACAAGCAAATTAAATCACAGAATATACTATATATGATATCATGAAATAAATAAGCGACGTCGTTATATGCTACACAAAAATGACTTCATATAATGACGTCACAAAGTGAGATAAGATTTCATAAGACAAATGATGACGTCATAAAACAAGATATCGTACAAATGATGACGTCATAAAATAAACAAGTTATGACGTAACTTGTGGACCATGATCAGCTGTGTCACGCGAGGCTGTTCCTGAGTGTTGCTGTGTTGTGTTGCGTTTCTGTGTCGTGTTGCAATGTTGTGTTGATATACCATGTTGCTGTGTTATTTTACTGTGATGCGTTGCTCTGTTGTGTTGCAGTGTTGCGTTTCTGTGTCGTGTTGCAATGTTGTGTTGATATGCCGTGTTGCTGTGATATGTTGCTCCGTTGTGTTGCTGTGTTGCGTTTCTGTGTCGTGTTACAATGTTGTGTTGATATGACATGCTGCTGTGATTTTGTTGCTCTGTTGTGTTGCTGTGTTTAACTCGCCGTGGTAATGCTGTGTCACCTTACTATGTAGTGAAGATGTTTCTGTTACGCCGTGTTGTGTTACTAGGCGTATACTGTGTGTTACATGGAGGCGCTGTGTTGTAGACGTCATTGTTGTCCGTCCGTCGTTCGTCCGTGCGTCCGTCCGTGCGTCAGACCATCTTGTAAACGCAATAACTTGAACGAATAAACTTATATATTAATATTACGTTCTTTAGCTTTTTATTTGGTACTCTTATTTCTCAGTGATTCTCTCCTGTGTTTCTCATTTCTCAGTGCCTCTCTCCTGTGTTTCTTATTTCTCAGTGTTTCTTCTATGTTTATTATCGTTAGTGGAAGAAACACACTGGAACCCTTGGATGTAAATACCTCTTTCTCTTGTGTAATGTTTTTCTTAAGTGTTACATGTGTTACTACTGCTTCTGGTGTTATGTTGTTTTGTGTTGTGATGTGTTTGTTGTGTGTGTTTGTGTTGTGTCGTTTTGTGTTGTGTCGTGTTGTGTAAGTGTGTGTGTGTTGTGTAATTGTTGTATAGGTGTTGTGTCGTGTAGTGTATTGTAAGGTTGTGATCTGTAGAGTTAATTCTTGTGTTGTTTATAGTTATTCTTTACTTAAAACCACCATAGTCATCATCGTCATTATAATAATAATAATAATAATAATAATATCACAGTAACAACAAATATAAATATTAACACAGTACATTTAATAACAACAATCACAACACCACAATATCGCCACAACACCACAATATCACTACAACACCACATCACAACACCACCTCAACACCACCACAACATCACCACAACAACACTATATCACCACAACATCTCCACAACATCACAACACCACCACAATATCACCACAACAACACTATATCACCACAACATCTCCACAACATCACAACACCACCACAACATCACCACCATTACCAATATCTATAACAATAAAGTGCAGGAAATTAACCCCTAGAATAAAATAAATTACTTTTACTTTACACCTCAATACACATTCACTTTACTGTACTTATAGGTGTATAGTGTACTTACGGTGTGTGAGGTCCACTTTGTCCTCTTAAACTTGTAGTGCCACTTTTTTTTCTATCTATCCACTTATAGTCAATGTCAAACGAGGTAATTATGTGTTTAGTTCTTTTATTCACGGCTGTTGGGAGCGAGAAATACACAATTAAAACACAGGTAAATAAATATAAACTCAATAACCAAATAAATTCACACGTCTATTCTTTTCTGATTTTGTTTTTGTCTTTTTTTTTTTGGTGAGTCACAGTAACAACATGACTGGGCCGCTGAGGCTGGTCCCACTGTTGTTTACATTAAGACCTGAGACTAATGTTGAGGGAGTCTCAGTTAAGGGAGTCTCAGTTGAGGGAGTCTCAGTTGAGGGAGTCTCAGTTGATGAAAATATGAAAATGAATTCGAGTTGCTGTTTTTTTTTTTACCCAGTGGAAGATAAACAGAGTCCCGTTATGGATTCAAAGTGACAAGAATATAAGATGTGTTTTTCCCAGTGGTTTCTCCGGAGGACTTGACAGACAGCTTTACTAAGAACTGAAACTATGATTTTTTTTGACACTGGATACGGTAAAGGCAAATATTTAATCTCAAGAAGAAATAAAACTGGTATTTTTTTTCCCCCTCAGTAGAAACTAGGGAGGATTGCACACACAGCCACAAATAGAACCGGAATTAAGATCATTTATCCAGTGGAAGTTGTAGAGGGCACCACTGTCGGTAAATATTAACCAAGAAGTGAAACAAGACGCAGTTACACACACAGTTTCCCAATAAGACGTCACACGGCCCCACTTTCAGTAGACATTAACTAGGAAATGAGTTTGTTTGTTTTTTTCTCTACTGGAGGACAAACTCAAAGCTCCACTATGAGAAAACGTTTATATAGAACTGAAACTGAGACGTTTTTTTTGTACTCAGTGGATGTTATTTTACACAGCCTCAGCAGCCTAGCACAGCGCCCCACATGGCTCAGTGTCGGAGCGATCCACAGAATGTCCTTCCCCTCTCACGGTCGGAGAGATACTGGCGCCTGGCTCTCTCTGACTCTCTCGCGCTGGCTTGGCACACTGATCAGAGGGTGGTGGTGGCACGGTAGGGGAGGGGTAGTGGTGGCACGAGGGTGGTGGTGGAGGGTTGTGGTTGTGGTGACACGGGGAGAATGGTGGTGGTGGTGGTGATGTAGGAGGGTGGTGGCACTGTGGGTTTGGTGGTGGTGATGGTGATGGTGATGTGGGGGGGATGGTGAGGGTAGTGTGTTGGTGTTGATGCTGGTGATAGTGTTGAGGAGTAGTAATGGTGGTAGCGCTGATGATGGTGATGATAATACAGTGTAGTAATAGTGATACTGCTAGCATATTGATAGTGAGTCATGGTGATACAGTTGATAATGATGGTGGTTGTGATGCATGGTGATAGTGATTGTTCTGAAGATGGTGGTAGTGCCGATAATGGTTATAATAGTGACATATATTAGTGGCGTTAATGACACTATAACAACGCCTTTAATGATGACAGGTTCACTAATTAATGATGACACTTTCAACAAGGCAGGTGATGAACGTAATGATGATGATGATGATGATGATGATGATACGTGATAGTTATGGTGTTGATATGTTTGAATTATGGTGCTGGTAAGTGATAGTTTAATACTCTAACAACCGTAATAAACACAGCACCACAATTAATGATAGTCTCAAGAACTAGCCTAGTGATGACGGCTACTGTCAAGAACACTTTTCACCAGAGAGAAGTAATTAATGACCCTCCCCCCTCCCCCTCTCCCCCCCTCTCCCCCTCCTCCCTCCCCTCCGAATAACTACTGACCATTCACTTTTATGACCCTAATTACCCCCGTCATTACGAAATTACCGAATCAGGCCCTTGAAGAACAATGATATGAATGTGTGATAAATCTAGACTTTTCGCCCCCCCATAAAGGCTAACTAGAGGCCGTGGGACTTGAGGTAAAGGAGCATTTAGGATTAGGTCGTCTGAGGCTCTCGCTCGTTCTGAGTTAACATTATACTGAGCTGGTTATGACGATCACCTCTGGGGCTCTTTGGGCCTAGGTGAGGGGGAGGAGGGAGAGGGAAGGTTCTACTAGGAGGGGAGAGGGAGGGTTCTACTAGGAGGGGAGAGGGAGGGTTCTACTAGGAGGGGAGAGGGAGGGTTCTACTAGGAGGGGAGAGGGAGGGTTCTACTAGGAGGGGAGAGGGAGGGTTCTACTAGGAGGGAGGTGGGGAGGGGAGGGTTACGTTATTGCTTGGGAGAGTTGAGTCACACGCGATTGGTCCTTACACAGAGAGAGAGAGAGAGAGAGAGAGAGAGAGAGAGAGAGAGAGAGAGAGTTGGACCTCGTTTACCACTGCTTGAAGTAATAAGGGTTCAAACACTTTTATTTCTTTGTCGTAAAAGGGATTCAAACTCTTTTGGTACCTGATATAAGGAGGTTCTGACACCTTAGCCACATGTCATAAAGTGTCTACTTTTATTGCTAGGTTGAAGTGGGCAGCCATGTATGTGTGTTTCATGTGTGTGTGTGTGTGTGTGTGTGTGTGTGTGTGTGTGTGTGTGTGTGTGTGTGTGTGTGTGTGTGTGTGTGTGTGTGTGTGTTTGTACGTGTGATGTTAAAAGAGAGAAAAACAAGATAATTAAAGCTTAACTAACAAGCTGTCAAAGAAGCTGCTCCTCCGTCACCAACAGACACCATCAAAAGCATCGTCTGGTGGGTAAAAGAGAGAGAGAGAGAGAGAGAGAGAGAGAGAGAGAGAGAGAGAGAGAGAGAGAGAGAGAGAGAGAGAGAGAGAGAGAGAGAGAGAGAGAGAGAGAGAGATTTTTGACGTGAAAAACAACACCAAGATGGAGGACGATGTAGGTTAGGTTAGGTTAGGTTAGGCTAGGGTAAGATATGCTGGGTTAAGTTAAGCTGGGTAGGTTAGGTTATGGAGGACCGCAGCACAGCACAACTGACGCCCCGAGGAATGAGCCAAATATAAATTCAGCCTCGAGTGATCCTTTTCAGTCAAGAAGTCCAATTCAGAATCTATTTCCTCGTCTCTTGTGGCCAACCTTTTGGGATTCATGCGGGTTTATAGGGCGGATTTGTGCGGTCTAGTGGGCGGATTCGTCTGGTTTAGAGAGGGAATTTGAGTGGTTTAGTGGGCGGATTCGTGTTGTTTTTTAGTAAGTGGATTCGTGCGGGTTTATAGGGCGGATTCAAGTGGATTTCAACTGTTTAGTACGGTTTAGTAGGCGGTTTCGTGTGGTTTAGTGGATGGATACATGTGGCTTAGTGGATTGATTCGAGAGTTTTAGTAGGCAGATTCGTGTGGTTTAAAGGGTAGATTTGTGCGGTTCAGTGGATGGATTCGTGCGGTAGAGGAAAGACACTAAGTGGTAGGGAGGTGACCACAGCGCCACGGTGTAAAGGAACCTAAACACTCCCTCATGAGGTGTGTGTGTGTGTGTGTGTGTGTGTGTGTGTGTGTGTGTGTGTGTGTGTGTGTGTGTCGCCTTAAACAAACTAACTACGAGACTGTCTATAAACAGTATATATATATTTCAGACTTAATGCAACACGGAACTTTATGTTGACTATAAAGTGACCTCCCTAACGCTAGCTGGACCCAGTCACGCTATGCAACCCGGAGTTATGTGTTGCTGTCCTGACCTTATTTCTTCATTATCCTTTCCTCTTAAATGAATAAAATGAATAAACATGAAGTATTTTTTTTTTGGGGGGGGGGTCGGTTTTTTCCTCATTATATACATTGTCTTTTTAATTTGCCTTTTTATTTTATTTTTTATGTGACGTGTATAAACGTTGGTTCATTTAAAGTATATACACTGATGTTTTTATTTTATTATTGTTTCTCATACAAACTATAAACATTGGTACCTTGATCTCACTAATATACATCTATTTAAACTATAAACATTAATAACGTAATCTAGAAAAATTACGGTAGTTTTATTTGAAGTATAAACATTAGACTATGTTCACCGTAATCAACATTAAAACATTTATACCTTACTTGATTTACCTTTTCAATCAAAATATAAACATCCATACTCTAACACCTGCATAAATGTTCCTATATAAACTATAAACATTCCAGGTGTTTATATAGATAGTTGCCTTTATAGTAACATTTCCTATTAAAAAAATGTATACCGTAAGTGCAATTTCCTGAGCTGAAAACATTATTTGCGTAATATTTTTTTTCAACAATGCTGGAATGTTTGTATACAATCCTTTTAAGGGAATGATGACGATGAATATAAATGTTGTGCTGTAGGCAAATATGAATATGCTATATAACTGGTATAATTATTTTGAGTACCAGAATTTAACTATTGTAATTGCTGTGAGTACGGACAAACAACTGCGCTCGATGTTGCAAATTTAACTATGGTAATTGCTGTGAGTACGGATGTAACTGCGCTCGATGTTGCAACTATATATATAAAACTACGTTGTTTTTTAAGAGTACGGATGTATGACTGCGCTCCATGTAACTACAGTAACTACAGTTTGAAAATATATAGAACTACGTTGAATATTGCAGACTCCAATAAGTGTTGAATGTTGCAAATGAGAATAACTGCACTAATTGTTGCATATATGAATGTATAATTGCACTAAAACTTGCAAACACAAACAACAACATGGACACGCAGGGACCTCATATATATAGTATAACTCTTATGTACCGTAATATAGGTACCGACTGTGATATAATTCAGGTCAGTGATATAACTATGAACAGTAATTAACTATATACACTCATATAACTTAGCTACTATGTGGTACCTTAGTTTACGAACAATCTATATGTGGTACGTTAACTTACTAACAATCTATATGTGGTGCCTTAACTTACGAGCAATCTATATGTGATACCTTAACTTACGAACAATCTATATGTGGTGCCTTAACTTACGAGCAATCTATATGTGATACCTTAACTTACGAACAATCTATATGTGGTACCTTAACTTACGAACAATCTATATGTGATACCTTAACTTACGAACAATCTATATGTGGTACCTTAACTTACGAACAATCTATATGTGGTACCTTAACTTACGAACAATCTATATGTGGTACCTTAACTTACGAACAATCTATATGTGATACCTTAACTTACGAACAATCTATATGTGATACCTTAACTTACGAACAATCTATATGTGGTACCTAACTTACGAACAATCTATATGTGATACCTTAACTTACGAACAATCTATATGTGGTACCTTAACTTACGAACAATCTATATGTGGTACCTTAACTTACTAACAATCTATATGTGGTACCTTAACTTACGAACAATCTATATGTGGTACCTTAACTTACGAACAATCTATATGTGGTACCTTAACTTACGAACAATCTATATGTGGTACTTTAACTTACGAACAATCTATATGTGGTACCTTAACTTACGAACAATCTATATGTGGTACCTTAACTTACGAACAATCTATATGTGGTACCTTAACTTACGAAAAGAATTGTATGTGAAAAAAAGGTACGATACTCTTCTTAATCTGTTACTCGTCAGATCGATCTTCTCCATTACCTGGGTGTGTTAAGACTTCTGCATGCGTGATGGGCGTCGTTACTATAGTGTGCAGGGAGGTGGCTCGTCTTCCCCACTACTGACGAAGCCTTGAGCGGGGTGTACAGTGCAGTGGGTCATATGGTGGGTCACGCCTGTTTGGCCTCATTCTCACGGGAACTGGGACCCAATACTAATGATTTGGTTATAGTGGGGCCCAGTAGGGTTGGGGTCAGTTAGGACTAGTGCCCACTTGTGCAGTCGCCGGCGTGATAATTACAGTCGGTGTTTGATACGTCTACGATTTTTTTTTTAATGAATAGACAATTATGGCTATAACACTATATGTTTACCACTTACGCCATCCCTCCCTTCCTCTTTCTCTCCCACTGTTTCCCTCCTTCTGTCCCTCCCTCCCTCCCTACCCTTCACACCCTCCCTCCTTCCATTCTTCCCTTCCTTCCTTCTCTTCC